GAAAATGGTGAAAAATTACTGAAATGAAAAAATTAAATGATAAAACCACTAATAACGTAACTTATCTCTGCTACTGAAAAGCAACTACTAGTACTCGATGTTTATTTCTATTCTTGCTCTAATTCTCGAGATACAGTTTCTCTACAGAAATCGACTATTTTGGGAATTTTTGATAGACTAAAGCATATTGCTGTGTTCAAAAAATCATCTAGGATATTGAACGTTCCAAAAGATTCTTCAATAAACTAAAAAACGGGCAATTTGTTCGCTATTTCTTCGATTTTGCTATGGGCAAAGTGATTCGTTGTAATTACAGCATACATCACGATATATACAAATTCAATTAACCTCACTTATTTAGAGTGTCTTCCTACGTTTCCATCCATCTGTAAACGCAACATAATAGTATAATGTTACCTAATGTCAAGCTGGAAATTTCCTGAAACATCTAATAACCCCCCAAAGGTAAGTAAACCCACACGCCAAGTTATCCTTTGTATATAGTTCCAGGCGCTAAACTTTACTCCCAAGAATTCGGCTTTGAAGTCAGATTTTCGTGTGAGCTGCTCATTTATCACCATCCGCTATCCAGACTTAACACCTAGACATTTAATCAGCTGTATGCTTAATCCGTTACCCTTCTACGAACATAGTGAGAAATGGCAATTGGAGTGATAGATACACAATTGTTTGCCTATTAATAGTAATCAGACTAATCAATATAACAGCGTGAAACATATGCTATGTTAATGGAAATGTATGTCAATAGTGTTTTAACACGCCATTCTAACCATTCTTTTGGTCTGAGTTAATTGCTATAGGTACCATCAGTTTTTCATTCAAATAACGTATATTGCATCGAGATATACAGGGTGTCCCTGAAAGGTCTGTTCAAAATCTCAGTACATATTTCTAAGGTCAAAATGAGACGATTTAAGGCGACTTATCTCAATCTGGAGTTGCTTCGTTTCCGAGATACAGGGTGGTAAAGTTAAAGATTAAAAATCGAATTTTTCAAAATCGATCAAAATTCAATACCAAGTTGTTGGTAACAAAAATAGGGATTTAATTATCTCAGATATAATAATACTCATTACTCACACAGAGGAACGGGTCGGGTCTGCAAGACCGAAATCTGCTCTGAAATCATTAAATACTGTCTGAGAAAAATCAAGGAATCTGCTTGCATTCTTCTAAACGGAGACAGTGGCATTGCTTCTTGTTCAGTTGATATAGACAGAACATGGTACTCACTACTAAAATCTGGACATGAAAATGGTAAATTCAAGATCAATTAATGAAAACATCCTGTAACTCATTTGATTGCCAACGTCACCAATTGTCAATGAAAACTGAAAAGCTTCAAGACATATAATATACGACTTCGCTATTGAAATAATCTTTTTTCTGTGACGGGAAAAAAGTTTGGCATTTCATCTCTGTTGGCAGGTTATAAAATGTCACTTTTCATAAATTACTTTTTTCCCGTGGGAAAAAAGTGAGTACTTCTTTCCCGGATATATATCACATATATATACTCTGTTAATGGCTTTTGTTGTGCTATAGTTCCGAAAAATGAGTCAATAATACCGTCTCCGAGAAAGAACTGCAAGTCCTTTTATCTTCCATTCGACTTCGCGGTTTCGTATATTACTAAACAACTACTGGATTCGCAATTTTTTGAAATCAAATCACAGAATTGAACTGACAGAAGTGACATAAGATATTTGATTACTTCAAAAGAATGATAAAGATGCCTATAAAACGCAGGTGTCCCTACTGTTAAAAACTTGAAATTTTACGTCCATAATTTTCAGATTTCGAAATAATGTGATATCTTCTCAATATTGATTCGTCCTTCCTTCTGTCACAGAAAAAAATAGTGTATTATACACGGGAAAAATATTAGATTTTAGCTCACGGTTTTTTGTCTCCCTCCGCTACGCGTCGGGAGACAACACAACCTGGAGCTAAAATCTACTACTTTTTTCCCTTGTATAATAAATAACTATTTTTGATGTTGAAAACGGGAGCAGAATCGGTCCCAAAACGTCCAAAGATAAGTGAAAATTCGATATTTTTTTCTAAATACCTTTATTTCTCTTCTCCAAACTTTTTTCAATACAAATTGTCACTGACAAGCTAGTGAATTTTTCTTTCAGGCTCTCTGATAGGAAAATTCTTTAAACGCAGTGACATTTTGGGGCAAATCATCTGATTTGTCCTCACTACACGTATATTGAAATAATATTCATATTTTTATTTTATAGAAATGAGGAGAGAAAATCCCAAAAAATTTGGAATAATCTAAAATCATTGTTTTCTGATACAATGAGTTGAAACTATAGAAGATTTTATGCAGGCCCTTTGAGCACACCCTTTTATGCGCTCGGGTGCCATTTTGGAAGTTTTTTCCAAGTGATACCTTATTTCAAACGTATTCTGATTCTTTATATCACATCAGAATTACAGACAAGAATATTCATTAATTAGGTACTTACTCTAAGAGGTTACTTTTCCATTTAACCACCTACCGAATCGTAGTATCGATTAAGCTGGTACCAAAAAAACAAGCAAATTTATTAGGCTTACGTTTCTTTGATGTTAACGAAGTGAATACATTTCTCTGGGGCTAGGGTGGAATAAAAACCGACATACGGTTGTTCGGGCAAAGGCTATCGTTTGATACAGAACGAATGGTATGGCTACCCTACTCCATTTGATGAAATTGATTTATTGAATTTGTTCGCCTCACTCGTGCGGAAGAGGAAAATATGATCCCCTATATCGATGAAACAGAGCGTGCATGTGGAATAGAGCATTAAATACACCAAGTTCGCAGTTCCTGAAGTCGAAAAACTTTTCTAGGATGAAATATTTTCATCTATACGTTCCGATATATTTCTCATTGAACTCAACCAAAAAATAATGATGTAAGTTTAGCTTCGAAATTTTGTAGGTTGTTAAAAGTCACGTAACAATTTCATTCAACTGCACATAACACTGATTTTTTTTAATTTCGACTGCAACACAACTTCACTACAATCCGCTTCAATCAATTTGACGATGTTTACGTTCGAACATACCAACTTTCGATGTATCAACGGTTTTCATTTGAACTGTCTGATACAGGGTGATTCATGAGGAGACTCACATAGCCAAATGGTGAATAGGAAAAATCAAGACGAGTTGATGTATACAGGGGGGGGCACCAGTAACGCCTCGGTCTCTAGAAGGCTAACCACTTATCTTCTTGGAATTCTTCCTCTCTAGGAAGTTGCATGTCAACATAGGCTACCATTTAAAATTATTTCGAAACATACAGGGTGTCCCCAAAAACCATAAAACACTGAAGTTAAACTTTTTTCTATCGAACACCCTATATATTATTTCATTTTGAGATTCTCCCTGATGAGCTGATTTCAACGACCCATCATACTTGGGGTCTAACAGTTATAATTACTGAAATATAGGGTGTGAAAAATCGAGATTTTCCAAGTTCAAGAATTTTTTGTGTCGAAACTATTCATAATTGGTCAAAACGGCTTACATGTCCCTATCTCAACTTTTGATTAACTATCTACTGATATTTAATTGGGACATATACCGGGTGATCAAGATTCTGAACTCTGCACCACCCTGTATTTGTTTCAATTAAATGTCAGTAGATAGTTGATCAAAAGTTGAGATAGGGACATGGGAGCCGTTTTGACCAATTATGAATGGTTTAGACACAAAAAATTCTTGAACTTGGAAAATCTCAATTTTTCACACCCTATATCTCAGTAATTATAACTGCTAGACCCCAAGTATGATGGATTGTTGAAATCAGCTCACCAGGGAGAATCTCAAAATGAAATAATATATAGGGTGTTCGATTGAAAAAAGTTCGACTTCAGTGTTTTGTGATTTTTGGGGACATCCTGTATGTTTCAAAATAATTTCAAATGGTAGCCTATGTTGACATGCAACTTCCTAGAGAGGAAGAATTCCAAGAAGATAAGTGGTTAGCCTTCTAGAGACCGAGGCGTTACTGGTGGCCCACCCTGTACATATACATGAAAATTTTTTCTGGCGCTCCATAACGAAAATACAGGATATTATGTGGAATTTCCATATTTTATAACTTTTGATGGTCGATATTTCAGGAATGATTCATCGTAATTTGCTGAAATTCGGCAGCGACGTTTCTCTATTTCTAGATGGCATATTATAGTGAAAATTCCAGATCCATACTTGGAAAAATCTTATGTTTTTTTTATATCGAGAAAGATCACTTGGTGATCCCTTTTCTCGGAAGATTTTATCAGATTCAGAGTGTTCAGGCTAAATACCATTAGAACTGCTCTAAAATTTGCTCTGCACACATTGACCGGTTCAATAAAAAAAATATGAAACAAAATTGTTCTAATGAATTCTCAATTTAGACCTGGCTGATAACTCTTAACTTTCAACTGGGTTCATGTAAATTGATTTATTGTACATTCTCATTGGATAGAAATTGACAGAAGAGTAGTTAAGTAAAAAACATATTATTTTTTTCAAATACATTCTAGATAGATATTATTATTAGTATTGTCTGATCTCTCTGAATCTGATTTCGTGTGAATAACTTATATTTCGCGAAAGTTATTTGAAAAAAGCGAACAAAAAAATCAATTTCAACACCCTGTATGTCCGAAACGAAGCATTTCCGGACACACGTTTACATAGAATTTTTTTCTCAAAATTGTCTCAGAAATACGTCACTTGAATATTTCAACGTACTTATGTTACACCCTGTATACATCAAGTAGTCTTGATTTCCCCTATTCACCATTTGGCTATGTGAGTCTCCTCATGAATCACCCTGTATAATATTGATTTTCATTCATCTAGTTTATTCACTCTGTTGTTGTTGAAAGAACTCCTTCCTGATGGAGATCAATCAAGGTACCAGTTTTCATGAATTTTCATTTCGATTTCAGTAAAGTCTGGCGTCTAGACCTCAAAGAAGTTTGATGAAGGGAAGACACCAATTCCGCAGGCGATTCAGCTTGCAACCCTCCTTCCTGAAGGAAGAACCAGAAGAAGAAACACACCATCCAAAAAAGTAAGAAACATAACACACATTCAATGCAAACACTTCCTCGACACGTTATTTATAATAACATAAGCAGAGTTCTCAGGTCTCAGAAGAGTGACGATGCGGAATCGTTGGAGAAAAACGATTGCGTAGCACCTGCCAACAACGTGAGGCACAAGATAGTAGTGATGGGTTCGGCAAAAGTGGGCAAGTCTTCCTTGATCACCCAATTCCTCTACGGGACCTTCTGCTCTAAGTACAAACGCACAATCGAAGAAATGCATCACGGAGATTTCAATGTTGCAGGGGTGAGTAGTTAGGGTTACTCCAGTTCACTGTAAGACCCACTCATTTTCCCAATGTCCATGGTTGCATCAGGTGAGCATTTCCTAAAACTGGTTTAGTCTCTCTGAGCAACAGCACCAAATGTTGATTCAGACTTATCCTTCCTACGTGGTATTATAGACTACAGTATCTTGTCCTTCAATCAATCGATCAATCATCAATAATGTTGCCGGGTGTAACAACGGCTGAGACCATTCTCACATCCTTCACATCCCCCAGGGGATGACTGCCGGTCACGTGTCTCTCGACTTGTACCAACAGCACCCCAGGGAGAAATGGAAGATTTGGATACGCCGAATCAGCGTGCTAGAGCCATCTCCGTTATGTACCGGCATGTTCTCCTGCTACCATTTCATTATACCAATGGTGAGGCCGTCTGATAAAACAAACTACTGGCTCTGCAGTGTCAGTGCCCTAGCAGAAACGCTGCTCACCCGCCGAGGCAGGCAAGATATCCTCCCACTTGACCCATAGTGGAATTCTTCTTTACCTCCTCTACCGTAGTCCGGTGGTATTTTTTGGAAACCTCTGCCCCCTGGAGTCCAACCCAGTTGGTGAGGCATCAGGTCGTTTGTACGACCCGATGGGGCTATCCTCATCACCCCAGGTACCCATGTCAACAAGATTCCCCTTGTTACGTTTGATGGGTCACCGTCGCAAAAGGCTTTGGACTGATTGCTACTCATGTTGACAAGAATCCTCTCCTCCTGTCGAATGAGTGATCGTTCGAGGACTTTTACACGTTCCTCTACCCCGTTAATAAGAGAGGACCCGGCTTTGCCTACGATGACTGGCGGTAGAATCGCTTGGGGCTGCCCCTTCCCTGTCGAACTGAGGCACAAGGTACACCGAAGTTTCAGTTTTCGCTGAGCAAGCCCAGCTACCCATGTCGACCGGAATCCTCCAGTCCCGTTGTCACACGTACCGCTACCATGACAAGAGTGGGGACCTCAAGCTTTTGACCAGAGGTGCCTGGAGTCACCTGGGGCTACCTCCACTCCACGCCGAGAGGGTATATTGGGCACACGGCCAGCCCTTAACCAGTCCTGTCGAAATTCTCAGGTCGCTCCTGTTCCATTCTAAGATCTGCTTGCTTATATTTTTGGAATGAGTCAATCCTGGTAATTCAAACCATCTGGAATTGTTGTTTTGGCCGCAGTCCAGCAATACTCTGTTAGCATTGAGGCACTCTAGCGATTCAATACAGTTCCATCATACGAGCTTTATAATTCATCTTGCTGGAGATCAGAGCTTTAAGAGCTGCAAAGCAGTCTGACTAATATAATACTGATGTTTTTGTTCTCTAGAGGTATATTAGTCAACTCTTTCGCACACAGTTCAACAGCAAACACTGGAAGACCTGTTGAGAGAGACTGGGATTTCAACCAATCTGTGTACATTACGTGTTGAGAAATAAGAATGGAATCTTCCCGAACTCTGTTTCTACTTACTATGAATTTTTGACCCAAGAACATGGAAGGAAGTTTAATGTTTCTCTTCTACTCTACCCAATCCAGCAATCTAGATCCCTTCAGAAGCTTCTGCAGGTTCTTTGTTGATAGTTCTACTACCATCTTTGATGGTCCATAAATTCTTTATCGCCTGAGTTTGAAATTCCCCCAATTGCATAAGATGTTGATGGCTGCTTTTGTTCTTGTTACCTCAAAATCTTCATTGAAGAGCAGTGGCATCTCACTGCATTATTAGATGTCCTCGGTGGTAGGTACCCACAATAATATGATTTCATTATGAATTTTAAGTTTTTTCAGTTCATTCCAATAGAAGTTACATGTGCCTTCGGCAGCTGTACATGCAATATATAGGGTTACCATTCCAAGAAGATGCTTTTAACTCTTAACCAGTTCCAGTTTTTGCCTCAATTTCTAATATGATGTGGAACCTGGTAATAGCAATGGGTATTGTCCAGGAATCATTAGGTGCCTCTGTTTTCTGACGTCCTCTTGAAAAATTGTCCACAAAATATGTAGTGATCTTTTAGGATTCTATGATTGCTCAAACTCGAAGTTCATTAACTTCATGTAGCTGACGATGGAAGCTGAGAAACCAAATTATGTACATACCTACCTTATGTATGTATGAATGTGTGTAGATAAGGGTGATGGAAACACTGCTACCCATGTGATCTATTGTGTCCCCTCTTCTTGCTATGGGTCCTAGGACATCTCGATTATAGTTCTTCTTCTAATCCTAGTCTCCTTAGGAAGTTGAAGGTATGGGATGGTTTCAAAGAGGGTAAATCTCCTACTACTCTCAATCGACAGCGAGATCGACAGTGTCCTGATAGGACTGAAATTAGTTTTCGGATCTTATTTTCACTTAGGATGATGCATTCGGTAGATCTTTTCTGGTTGTGGATTCCCAAGAGCGTCTCATACCTTGTAGATCCTGCAAGTATTTGGCTCTCTCAAGAAATATTTCTTCATTCAATTTCCCAACTATGTCCATACCTTAACATATAACGATCAATATTGTATAGATGCCTTAGATCTTTCTTGTCTTCATTCAGTGTTTTCTTCGTTGGTTAGGTCCACTTGAATTTGGATATCCTGGATACCTCTGGAGCGTACGAGTTTCCAGCGATGCGCGCCTTATCGATATCGTCCGCGGATGCCTTCATCCTCGTGTATGACGTCACCGATGCCACTACCTTCGAGGAAGCCAGAGCGCTGAGAGACCAGATATACGAGACCAAGTGCTCCACCAATGTTCCCATAGTGGTGGTCGGAAACAAGACCGATCTGGCTGGTGATCGAGAGGTAATTGAACGACGTTTCCTGAATATCGAATGTTGCCCCAGAAGAATATTTGAATTATTTGATTATCCGTGAAATGAGGGCTAACATTACTAATTGTTCAACAGATCGCGCTACTGAAGTCAGAGTTGGTAGACCTGATATATATATAGATATATATAGGGTGTCCCAGAACAACGTACCATAAATTCTACAGGGTGAACTAGAGATCAAAATAGGCTGATTGAGATCATCTTACCTCTATACGAAAACGCACCGTTGAGCCATTAGAGGGCAATGAACAATCATTTCATTCTCAGATTTTCTAGATTATCTCAAAATCCTTGAGAGATACTGCTCTGAAAATTAGAAAGCAAGTTACTCTACTGGATATGAATCGAATACATGTTATACATTCAAAAATTCCTGAAAATTGCAAAAATCGCAAAAATTCCTGAAAATTGCAAAAATTGCAGAAATTCCTGGAAATTGCAAAAATCGCAAAGATTCCTGAAAATTGCGGATATTCCTGAAAATTGCAAAAATTGCAAAAATTCCTGAAAATTGCAAAAATCGCAAAAATTCCTGAAAATTGCAAAAATCACAAAAATTCATGAAAATTGCAAAAATCGCAAAAATTCCTGAAAATTGCAAAAATTGCAGAAATCCCTGAAAATTGCAAAAATCGCAAAAATTCCTGGAGATTGCGAAAAATTCTGAAAATCGCAAAAATTCCTGAAAATTGCAAAAATTGCAAAAATTCATGAAAATTGCAAAAAATACTGAAAATTGCAAAAATCGCAAAAATTCCTGAAAATTGCAAAAATTCCTGGAAATTGCAAAAATTGCAAATTCCTGAAAATTGCAAAAATCGCAAAGATTGCAAAAATTCCTGAAAATTGCAAAAATCACAAAAATTCCTGAAAATTGCAAAAATCGCAAAAATTCCTGAAAATTCCAAAAATTCCTGAAAATTGCAAAAATCGCAAAAATTCCTGAAAATTGCAAAAATTGCAGAAATTCCTGAAAATTGCAGAAATCGCAAAAATTCCTGAAAATTGCGAAAATTCCTGAAAATTCCTGAAAATTGCGAAAATTCCTGAAAATTGCGAAAATTGCAAAAATACCTGAAAATTGCAAAAATTGCAAAAATTCCTGGAAATTGCAAAAATCACAAGAATTCCTGAAAATTGCAAAAATCGCAAAAATTCCTGAAAAATTCAAAAATTCCTGAAAATTGCAAAAATTCTACAGGGTGAACTAGAGATCAAAATAGGCTGATTGAGATCATCTTACCTCTATACGAAAACGCACCGTTGAGCCATTAGAGGGCAATGAACAATCATTTCATTCTCAGATTTTCTAGATTATCTCAAAATCCTTGAGAGATACTGCTCTGAAAATTAGAAAGCAAGTTACTCTACTGGATATGAATCGAATACATGTTATACATTCAAAAATTCCTGAAAATTGCAAAAATCGCAAAAATTCCTGAAAATTGCAAAAATTGCAGAAATTCCTGGAAATTGCAAAAATCGCAAAGATTCCTGAAAATTGCGGATATTCCTGAAAATTGCAAAAATTGCAAAAATTCCTGAAAATTGCAAAAAATCGCAAAAAATTCCTGAAAATTGCAAAAATCACAAAAATTCATGAAAATTGCAAAAATCGCAAAAATTCCTGAAAATTGCAAAAATTGCAGAAATCCCTGAAAATTGCAAAAATCGCAAAAATTCCTGGAGATTGCGAAAAATTCTGAAAATCGCAAAAATTCCTGAAAATTGCAAAATTGCAAAAATTCATGAAAATTGCAAAAAATACTGAAAATTGCAAAAATCGCAAAAATTCCTGAAATTGCAAAAATTCCTGGAAATTGCAAAAATTGCAAATTCCTGAAAATTGCAAAAATCGCAAAGATTGCAAAAATTCCTGAAAATTGCAAAAATCACAAAAATTCCTGAAAATTGCAAAAATCGCAAAAATTCCTGAAAATTCCAAAAATTCCTGAAAATTGCAAAAATCGCAAAAATTCCTGAAAATTGCAAAAATTGCAGAAATTCCTGAAAATTGCAGAAATCGCAAAAATTCCTGAAAATTGCGAAAATTCCTGAAAATTGCAAAAATTCCTGAAAATTGCAAAAATTGCAAAAATTCCTGGAAATTGCAAAAATCGCAAAAATTCCTGAAAATTGCAAAAATCGCAAAAATTGCAAAAATTCCTGAAAATTGCAAAAATCACAAGAATTCCTGAAAATTGCAAAAATCGCAAAAATTCCTGAAAAATTCAAAAATTCCTGAAAATTGCAAAAATCGAAAAAATTCCTGAAAATTGCAAAAATTGCAGAAATTCCTGAAAATTGCAAAAATCGCAAAAATTCCTGAAAATTGCGGAAATTCCTGAAAATTGCAAAAATTGCAAAAATTGCAGAAATTCCTGAAAATGCAAAAATCGCAAAAATTCCTAAAAATTGCGGAAATTCCTGAAAATTGCAAAAATTGCAAAAATTCCTGAAAATCACAAATATTCCTGAAAATTGCAAAAATTGCAAAAATTCCTGAAAATTGCAAAAATCGCAAAAATTCCTGAAAATTGCAAAAATCACAAAAATTCATGAAAATTGCAAAAATCGCAAAAATTCCTGAAAATTGCAAAAATTGCAGAAATTCCTAAAAATGGCAAAAATCGCAAAAATTCCTGAAGATTGCGAAAATTCCTGAAAATTGCAAAAATTGCAAAAATTCCTGAAAATCGCAAAAATTCCTGAAAATTGCAAAAATTGCAGAAATTCCTGAAAATTGCAAAAATCGCAAAGATTCCTGAAAATTGCAGAAATTCCTGAAAATTGCAAAAATTGCAAAAATTCCTGAAAATTGCAAAAATCGCAAAAATTCCTGAAAATTGCAAAAATCACAAAAATTCATGAAAATTGCAAAAATCGCAAAAATTCCTGAAAATTGCAAAAATTGCAGAAATCCCTGAAAATTGCAAAAATCGCAAAAATTCCTGGAGATTGCGAAAAATCCTGAAAATTGCAAAAATTCCTGAAAATTGCAAAAATTGCAAAAATTCCTGAAAATTGCAAAAAATACTGAAAATTGCAAAAATCGCAAAAATTCCTGAAAATTGCAAAAATTCCTGGAAATTGCAAAAATTGCAAATTCCTGAAAATTGCAAAAATCGCAAAGATTGCAAAAATTCCTGAAAATTGCAAAAATCACAAAAATTCCTGAAAATTGCAAAAATCGCAAAAATTCCTGAAAATTTCAAAAATTCCTGAAAATTGCAAAAATCGCAAAAATTCCTGAAAATTGCAAAAATTGCAGAAATTCCTGAAAATTGCAGAAATCGCAAAAATTCCTGAAAATTGCGAAAATTCCTGAAAATTGCAAAAATTGCAAAAATTCCTGAAAATTGCAAAAATTGCAAAAATTCCTGGAAATTGCAAAAATCGCAAAAATGCCTGAAAATTGCAAAAATCGCAAAAATTGCAAAAATTCCTGAAAATTGCAAAAATCACAAAAATTCCTGAAAATTGCAAAAATCGCAAAAATTCCTGAAAAATTCAAAAATTCCTGAAAATTGCAAAAATCGAAAAAATTCCTGAAAATTGCAAAAATTCCTGAAAATTGCAAAAATTTCTGAAAATTGCAAAAATCACAAAAATTCCTGAAAATTGCAAAAATCGCAAAAAATTCCTGAAAATTTCGGAAATTCCTGAAAATTGCAAAAATTGCAAAAATTCCTGAAAATCACAAAAATTCCTGAAAATTGCAAAAATTGCAAAAATTCCTGAAAATTGCAAAAATCACAAAAATTCCTGAAAATTGCAAAAATCGCAAAAATTTCTGAAAATTTCAAAAATTCCTGAAAATTGCAAAAATCGCAAAAATTCCTGAAAATTGCAAAAATTGCAAAAACTCCTGAAAATTGCAAAAATCGCAAAAATTCCTGAAAATTGCGAAAATTCCTGAAAATTGCAAAAATTGCAAAAATTCCTGAAAATTGCAAAAATTGCAAAAATTCCTGGAATTGCAAAAATCGCAAAAATGCCTGAAAATTGCGAAAATCGCAAAAATTGCAAAAATTCCTGAAAATTGCAAAAATCACAAGAATTCCTGAAAATTGCAAAAATCGCAAAAATTCCTGAAAATTCAAAAATTCCTGAAAATTGCAAAAATTGCAAAAATTCCTGAAAATCGCAAAAATTCCTGAAAATTGCAAAAATTTCTGAAAATTGCAAAAATCACAAAAATTCCTGAAAATTGCAAAAATCGCAAAAATTCCTGAAAATTTCGGAAATTCCTGAAAATTGCAAAAATTGCAAAAATTCCTGAAAATCACAAAAATTCCTGAAAATTGCAAAAATTGCAAAAATTCCTGAAAATTGCAAAAATCGCAAAAATTCCTGAAAATTGCAAAAATCACAAAAATTCATGAAAATTGCAAAAATCGCAAAAATTCCTGAAAATTGCAAAAATTGCAGAAATTCCTGAAAATTGCAAAAATCGCAAAGATTCCTGAAAATTGCGGATATTCCTGAAAATTGCAAAAATTGCAAAAATTCCTGAAAATTGCAAAAATCGCAAAAATTCCTGAAAATTGCAAAAATCACAAAAATTCATGAAAATTGCAAAAATCGCAAAAATTCCTGAAAATTGCAAAAATTGCAGAAATCCCTGAAAATTGCAAAAATCGCAAAAATTCCTGGAGATTGCGAAAAATTCTGAAAATCGCAAAAATTCCTGAAAATTGCAAAAATTGCAAAAATTCATGAAAATTGCAAAAAATACTGAAAATTGCAAAAATCGCAAAAATTCCTGAAAATTGCAAAAATTCCTGGAAATTGCAAAAATTGCAAATTCCTGAAAACTGCAAAAATCGCAAAGATTGCAAAAATTCCTGAAAATTGCAAAAATCACAAAAATTCCTGAA